TCCCTGTCTGCCTGTACTGCCTGTGTCTGCCTGTCCTCCCCCATGTCTACCTGTACTCCTGTGTCTCTCCACACTTCCCTGTTTGCCTGTACCACATCTGTGTCTGCCTGTACTCCCCTGTGTCTGCCTGTACTTCCTGTGTCTGCCTGTCCTCCCCTGTGTCTCTCCACACTTCCCTGTTTGCCTGTACCACATCTGTGTCTGCCTGTACTCCCCTGTGTCTGCCTGTCCTCTTGTGTCTGCCTGTCCTCCCCTGTCTCTCTCCACACTTCCCTGTCTGCCTGTACAGCATCTGTGTCTGAACTTTGACCCTAGGAGCCCCTGGCAGCTGTCCTACCCAGATACTTCTGTTATAGCCTCCTCTTCCCCCCACCAGCAGCAGCAGCAGAGGGCTGTGCATCCCACGAGAGCCTCGTTTAGCTCATGTCCCATCTCCAGCCCGGCGCGCCTCTCCACCCACCCCCACCACGAAGTTCAGCCTCCTCCTGCACCCCAGCTGCTCTCTGGCTGCGACAGGAAATGACTCTTGTGCACAGGAATGCTCACTGCCCTGCTGGGCCCTCCGGACCCTTGGGGTGGGCTCTGAGGTCCAGGTGGCGAGATGCCGGCCCTGTCTGCCTCTCGCTGGCCCGGCCATTCCTGGCTGTGCCTGGGAAAGGAGCCAGCCCCCCACCCGGCCTCTGCTGAAGAACTATCGCTGCCAGATGTTCCCTTTCTCCAGAGCCAGAGCCGTGTGAGGTAATGGGAAAGACCAGTCCAGCAGGCCCCTCAGCATCCGGGCTGCGGCCAGCGTGGGGGGCTGGGGAGGCCAGATGGGTAGAATCTCCCCAGGAGATGTGGGGAGCACCAGTGTTCCAGTGTCCCCGCCTCTGAGAATGGCACTGAGTTCCCAAAGTTCCCAAGTCCTGGGCCCCTGCCCAGGTGGGTGGCCCTGTGGGTCTTGGTCCCCAGCTAGCACCCAAGTCTCCTTGTAGGACCTCTGGGCCAAAAGTTCCCAGTCCCTGAGCCCTTGTGTCCCCGAGGCAGAGCCCCTGCCTGCCCTAAGACCCTATCTCCACCCTGGACATGACACAGGCCTGTCTTCCAAGGGGCTATTCCCCCCACCCCCAAGGCAAAGGAGAACCTTCCTCGAGAACCCTGGGGTCTTTGATGAAACCGAAGGACCTCTGGGTGGGAGGTGGGGCGTGCCCTTCTCTCTCCCTCGCTTCTGACCCAGATGTGTGCTGCACACATGGAGTAGGTTCTGACAGCAGGGCCCATGCCTGGAGCCAGCGTTCCACAGGAACCAAGGGGGACGTCCGCCGCACGTGTGCACAGGCAAGCACACTCTGGGGATGGGCCCCTCCTCAGAGGAAGAGTCTGCATGGGTTTGCTCAGGTTTCGAGCCAGCCACAGCTCCCGGAATATCTACCCTCAGGTGCCTGGGCCGGGAGCCCACAGCAGGGGCCCCGTGTGTCCGCAGGCCCCAGTGACCTCGGCACGGCTGGAGCCTGGGCATTTCCTCCTGCCCTCTGCCGCCCGGCTGCACCCTGTCCACGCCTCTGGGTCCTCCTGCACGCTGACTCTGGCTTTGCAATGTCTGTGTGGAATGAGGGTGCACGAACCAGAGCCTCTATGTCTGTTCTCACCAGGAAATAAAATTCTCAGCCTTCAGGAAATAGAGCAAAAATAATTTAGGCCGATGTACAGCCCAGGAGGAGGCCAGAACCCCACCTGTCCGGTGGGTGGGGTTGCTGTCCCTGCTCCCTGGAGAGGTGCACGCTGGTGGGGACACGGGAGGGGCATGAGGTGGGGGTGAGCCTCCTGCCAGCCTCTTTAGCCAGAACCCCCCCAAACAGGCCGGTCCCTCGCCCACTTTGGAAGGCCCGGTGCCGCCGCATCTCTGTGGATGGGCTGGTCCTGTGGCAGCCTGCATCCTGGAACAGGCCGTCCCCAGCTCCGACCACCACGGCCTGTGGCCCCCGGACTGGTGCGTGGCCTATAATGTATTGAACAGCTCCGTACTGCTGAGCCTTAAGGGTACTACTTGGTTATTTCTGGTTTAAAAAATGCTGCAAAAACACACATTCTGGTGTAGATGCTGTGCTGAGGGATGCTTCCGGAATGAACTCTCTGGTTAGCCGGGCAGATGCTGTGAGCTCCCGACAGTCTGAGTCACTCGTCCTGGGAGTGCTACTCCTCGTGGTCAACTAGGACCAAGTGGACACCGGAGGGCTGGCCCTGGATGGGCAGCTCAGTGCAACAGTGCTGACCACTTCACAGCCCGGCTGTGGCTCCCGGTGCAAGGCCAGGCCTCACCACACCTCTCAGCCCAGGCCCTGCTGGCCCAGGCGGCCATTCCGGCTCAGCCCCAGGTGGAGTCTGACCGCAGGCTGTCCCAGCCATGACTGCTGGGTCCCTGGTGGCCAGCAAGTACCTGGCTGGGCAAGCCTGGGTGAGGTGGGTGGAGGGGCAGCCCGCACCACGGACAGGGGCGGGGCCTGGGAGCAGCCGCCGTGCGGGGTCCAACCGAGTCTGTGTGCCACCCCGTCCACTGTAGAGGATCCATGGAAACCAAGTGAGCCGCGTGGAAAACATTCGCTGCCTGATGAATCATGTTCCAAGTCGGGAGGAAAGTTTACTGTGTTGTTGGGGCAATAGACAAATAAAACTGTCTTTGTCCAGTAGATGCCCAGTGGGTCTGAGTCTTTGGAGTTTGTAATGAAGGCAGCTTTTCAGAGACCACACCCCAGGAAGGGTGTGTACATTCTGGAAACAGCACAGCCTGCGGTGGACCCCTCAGACCAGCCCCCCCCCCGCCCCGGGCTTGGTGCCATGCCCCACAGGCTGGCAGCCCCACACCCTCCTCCTGGCCTTCAACAGGGTGGAAAATCCTCGGTCATCCATCCTCCTGGACTTCGGTGGGTGAAGCATGGCCTCCCGCCCTCGGCAAGGTGGGCACTTGGGTTTCAGAGCAAGGAGAGCCCTCGGCCTGGGGTCATCAGGGCATCTTCCGGGCCTGGCCCTGGCACTGTGCACAGGCCCAGCGGCTCATGCAGTAGCCAGCTGTCCCTGTGGGTGTGAGCCAGACGCCCGGGGCTGGGCACCTGTCCCCCTGCGTCCGCCTCTGCGTGCTGCCAGGCCAGGGCCTCCTGTCTGCCAGACAGAGAGAGCCGTGGAGGGCAGCTCCTGCGTGGTGGGGCAGGCCAGTGCCCAGACAGCCGCCCACAGGAGCAAGGCTCCAGCGGGGCCCAGGCCACGCATCTGCCATGCCCCTTCAGGCCCATTAGCCCACCACAGCTGGAGTTGAGCGAGCTCCTGCTCAAACCCACCAGACTCACGGCCAGACAGCAGGTTAACGTGCAGGTTGACAGTCTCCACTTGGGACCCGCGCCCAACCCTCCGCCAGCGTGGTCTCCTGAGGAAGCAGGGCCTCTGTCCACACGGCATGGGGTCTGCACCAGGAGCTCACCTCCAAGACCCTGCAGGCGGGACGGAGCTAGCCCGGGGGTCCAGGCCCACGCTGCCTCCTCCCGCTGGCCCTGCCTGCCCCGAATGAAGCTCCTGGGCCACAGCCAGAGAGGCCCCGGATCTGGGATGGCCTTTCCCTGCCTCGGCCTCTCCCTGAGCCCAGGGGCCAGCTCTAGGCAGGCAGGCCCAACCATCCACCACGCTTCTCATCCTCAGGCCGAGGTGAGCAGGTAAGACTCTCCCACACCAACCCAGCCCCACACTGCCCCCGTCCAGAACAGAAAGGACAGAGATGGAGAGGGGGAAGGAGGGGAGGAAGAGGAGAAGGAAGAGCAATGTGAGTAGAGGGAGAGGAGGAGGAGAAGCTGGTCCTGGGCTGCAGGGGGCGCTGTTGCTCCACGGAAGGAGCTGATCACGCCCCCATCTCGGCCCGCCCGGGAGCACAGCCAGGCCCACCCCTCCTGGGGAGCGTGGGGTCCTGGAGCTGAGCTGGCTCTGGAGGTCCTCCTCGAAGGTTTCCTGACTACTCATATTCGTGGTCAGTCACACTCTGTGCATTTTCATACTGAAAGACATTTGGGCCGATAGGAAGCAAGCATCAGTTCCAATGTTCTTCTAGAACCTCAGGGTGGGGTTAGGCCTGGCTTCATGGGGCCCCGACCCGGGGCACAGTCTGCGCCCACACACTCAGAAGCTCACATGGACACGTGCTCACAATGTACACGTGTTCTTCTACACACACACACACAAAGCCACTCACACATGATTCCCACACACACAGCAGACACACGTACACTGCCTGACCCACTGACAGCCCACACAGGCGCTTTCATTTGCTCACACGGCCACACACCACACATTCACGCGCATTCACACTCACACGCCCACTCCCCAACACACACACTGCTCCCAAGGCAGACATGAGCTCTGTCACACAGGGTCACACACATGGTCCCAGATGCACACATACACCCACACAGCTTTACAGACACACTCAGCATGACATACACATAGGTGATCTGTGCACAAGCCCTTACACACATCGACACACACAAACACTGTCACAGCATGCATGCACTTGTGTCGCATACATTGACACCCGCTCAGACACACTCTTACACACATCCTCACACACATCTGTGCAGTTGCTGACATTGTTTCCTCATGGTAAAACACAAATATCTTTTGCAAGGCGTTCTTAACTACACTAAGCGAGAGTCCCCAAAAATGAGTGGCACTGTCAGCAGCTGTGCGCCTGGCCCCGGCTCCACAGGGCTGGCCCTGGGAGGCCCGACGAGGTTCGTGTGTCCTCCACACGCTGCACCGCGGTCTGTGGGGAGCGAGCCTGTGGCTCAGGCCTGCGGGGCGCACAGCGCCATGGGAAAGAGGGCCTTTGCTTTCAGAAGGTTCTGGAGGCCGGAGGTAGTGACTCACCCAGCCTGCTGGCCCCTCCCCTCCGGGCCCCGCCTCCCCCTCTCCCTCCCACCCACCCTCCCTGGTCCCGCACCCGCCCTGGGCTGTAACCACCACCACGGAGAGGGCTTCTCACACTCCGCCCCGGCCGTCCTGACCCGGCTCTCGCTGTGCTGACCCCAGGCCCGAGGCACCATGAGGCCCGGCCTTGCGCTGCTGTCCCTGCTGCTGCAGGCCGGCTGGGCGGCCGCCCAGGACGATGTGGGGACCGCAAAGCCCATCGCCTTCCAAGGTGAGTGGGGAGAGGCCGGGGCCCTGGAACCCCTGCGGGGGGCTGAGGAGCCCCAGCCTGGGGCCTCCGCTCCCCTCCAGCTCCCCTGGGCTGGCCCTGGGCACCGCCAGCCTCCCCTTCCTCCGGCAGGGTGGGGGTGAGGGGAGCCCCTCTCTGCTCTCTGCAGAGGGCTGCGCAGAGCGGCGGGGCTGGGAGGCTTGGCGCACCAGCTCCAAGGCAGGGCTCCGGGGGCTCCAAACCCAACGGGGCCACGTCCACAGCAGCCTTGTCCAGCTGCTCCAGAGCCCTCCCTTCAGAGGTCAGCCAGGCCTCCGAGCTCCAGGCAGGGGACCCTTAGGGGGACACCTCACCTTCTGCGGGAGAGGGGGGACTCCACAGTGGGAAGGGGGGACACGGGAGCACTCCACGGTGGGGAGGGGGGACACGGGAGCACTCCACGGTGGGGAGGGGGGACACGGGAGCACTCCACGGTGGGGAGGGGGGACACGGGAGCACTCCACGGTGGGGAGGGAGGACACGGGAGCACTCCACGGTGGGGAGGGGGGACACGGGAGCACTCCACGGTGGGGAGGGACACGGGAGCACTCCACGGTGGGGAGGGACACGGGAGCACTGCACGGTGGGGAGGAGGACACGGGAGCACTCCACAGTGGGGAGGAGGACACGGGAGCACTCCACGGTGGGGAGGAGAACACGGGAGCACTCCACGGTGGGGAGGGACACGGGAGCACTCCACGGTGGGGAGGAGGACACGGGAGCACTCCACGGTGGGGAGGGGGGACACGGGAGCACTCCACGGTGGGGAGGGGGGACACGGGAGCACTCCACGGTGGGGAGGGAGGACACGGGAGCACTCCACGGTGGGGAGGACACGGGAGCACTCCACGGTGGGGAGGGAGGACACGGGAGCACTCCACGGTGGGGAGGGGGGACACGGGAGCACTCCACGGTGGGGAGGGGGACACGGGAGCACTCCACGGTGGGGAGGGAGGACACGGGAGCACTCCACGGTGGGGAGGAGGACACGGGAGCACTCCACGGTGGGGAGGACACGGGAGCACTCCACGGTGGGGAGGGGGGACACGGGAGCACTCCACGGTGGGGAGGAGGACACGGGAGCACTCCACGGTGGGGAGGGAGGACACGGGAGCACTCCACGGTGGGGAGGAGGACACGGGAGCACTCCACGGTGGGGAGGGGGGACACGGGAGCACTCCACGGTGGGGAGGACACGGGAGCACTCCACGGTGGGGAGGAGGACACGGGAGCACTCCACGGTGGGGAGGGAGGACACGGGAGCACTCCACGGTGGGGAGGACACGGAAGCACTCCACGGTGGGGAGGGAGGACACGGGAGCACTCCACGGTGGGGAGGACACGGGAGCACTCCACGGTGGGGAGGACACGGGAGCACTCCACGGTGGGGAGGACACGGGAGCACTCCACGGTGGGGAGGGAGGACACGGGAGCACTCCACGGTGGGGAGGGGGGACACGGGAGCACTCCACGGTGGGGAGGAACACGGGAGCACTCCACGGTGGGGAGGGAGGACACGGGAGCACTCCACGGTGGGGAGGGGGGACACGGGAGCACTCCACGGTGGGGAGGAGGACACGGGAGCACTCCACGGTGGGGAGGAGGACATGGGAGCACTCCACGGTGGGGAGGGGGGACACGGGAGCACTCCACAGGTGGGGAGGACACGGGAGCACTCCACAGGTGGGGAGGACACGGGAGCACTCCACAGGTGGGGAGGACACGGGAGCACTCCACGGTGGGGAGGACACGGGAGCACTCCACAGGTGGGGAGGACACGGGAGCACTCCACGGTGGGGAGGGACACGGGAGCACTCCACGGTGGGGAGGGAGGACACGGGAGCACTCCACGGTGGGGAGGGGGGACACGGGAGCACTCCACGGTGGGGAGGACACGGGAGCACTCCACGGTGGGGAGGACACGGGAGCACTCCACAGGTGGGGAGGAGGACATGGGAGCACTCCACAGGTGGGGAGGACACGGGAGCACTCCACGGTGGGGAGGGGGGACACGGGAGCACTCCACGGTGGGGAGGACACGGGAGCACTCCACAGGTGGGGAGGAGGACATGGGAGCACTCCACAGGTGGGTGGGTGCAAGCGGCCTGAGCCCAGGAGGGCAGTGTGTGGCTCATGGACGTCCCCCTCGGCCCAGACTGCCCCGTGGACCTGTTCTTCGTGCTGGACACCTCTGAGAGCGTGGCCCTGCGGCTGAAGCCCTACGGTGCCTTGGTGGACAAGGTCAAGGCCTTCACCAAGCGCTTCATCGACAACCTGAGAGACAGGTAGGGGCGCACGGGGCCTGTCCCGCATCTCCTGAGCCCAGCTGGTCCACAGGCAGGGTTGGGCAGCCGCCCCTGTGACCCGGCCACCCTTACACCCAGCATCTACCAGCTCGAGGGGCGAGGCTGGGCGTGAGATCAGTGCCACAGTGCTCCTCACCACTAGGAGGGCCAAGGGCACCATGCAGAGTGTGACGCCACCACAGACAGACAGACAGACAGACGGAGAGTCACAGCCCCACAGACAGACAGACAAAGCCCCCCCAGACAGACAGATGGTCACAGCCCCCCAGACAGAGAGTCATAGCCCCACAGACAGACAGACAGGCAGTCACAGCCCCCCCAGACAGACAGACAGACAGAGAGTCACAGCCCCACAGACAGACAGACAAAGCCCCCCCAGACAGACAGATGGTCACAGCCCCCCAGACAGAGAGTCATAGCCCCACAGACAGACAGACAGGCAGTCACAGCCCCCCCAGACAGACAGATGGACAGTCACAGCCCCACAGACAGACAGGCAGTCACAGCCCCCCAAGCAGGCAGGGTTTGGAGCACTGCCAGGGCTTGCAGCTCTGCCGGGGCCCAGGGCCTTCGGTGTCCGGCTGGGCCCCATGGGTGTGCTCAGCCTGGAACCAGCCCTCCTTCCAGCAACCCAGCCCCTCCTTTGGCCCACCCTGCTTCTGTTGACCACCCTACCAGGGCCCAGGGCCCACGGACATGCCAGACCGTGGGCTGTTCACTCCCACTGCCAACCCAGGGGCTTTACAGACTGCAGACTTGAACACAGTAGAATGCCGGGTCCATGGGAGCAAGGAGGGGAGCACTGCTGGGAGGGAGGAGGGGAGCACGGCTGGGAGGGAGGAGAGGTCCCACTGCGGCCCTCACGCGAGGTCCTGCGTCTCCCTAAGAGGTCCCCAGGCCCTGCCGGGAGCCAGTGGCTCATACCTATAATCCTTGCTACTCAGAGGCTGAAATGTGAGGATTGTGATTCAGAGCCATCCTGAGCAGGAAAATTGGTGAGACTCTGATCTCCAATAAACCTATGCAGGAAAAAAGAAGGCTGAAAATGGAGCTGTGGCTCAAGTGGTAGAGCGCTAGCCTTGAGCAAAAAAAGCTCAGGGACAGAGTTCAAGCCCCAGTACTGGTTTTAAAAAAAAGGGGTAGGCCACCCAGAGTCCAGAGCACCTAGAGACCAGGACACCCCAGAGTCCAGAGCACCCCAGAGTCAAGAACACCCAGAGTCCAGGACACCCCAGAGTCCAGAGCACCCCAGAGTCCAGGACACCCCAGAGTCCAGGACACACCAGAGTCCAGAGCATCCCAGAGTCCAGGACACCCTAGAGTACAGGACACACCAGAGTCCAGAGCGCCCCAGAGTCCAGGCCATCCCAGAGTGTAGGATACCCCAGAGTGTAGGACACCCCAGAGTCCAGAGCACCCCAGAGTCCAGGACACCCCAGAGTCCAGAGCACCCCAGAATCCAGAGCACCCAGAGTCCAGGACACCCCAGAGTCCACAGCACCCCAGAGTCCAGGCCATCCCAGAGTCCAGAGCACCCCAGAATCCAGGACACCCCAGAGTCCAGGACACCCCAGAGTCCACAGCACCCCAGAGTCCAGGCCATCCCAGAGTGTAGGACACCCCAGCGACCAGAGCACCCCAGAGTCCAGAGCACCCCAGAGTCCAGGCCATCCCAGAATGCAGGACACCCCAGAATCCAGAGCACCCCAGAGTTCAGAGTACCCTAGAGTCCAGAAAACCCAGAGTCCAGGACACCCCAGAGTCCAGGACACCCAGAGTCCAGAGCACCCCAGAATCCAGAGCACCCCAGACTTCAGAGCACCCCAGAGTCCAGAGCACCCCAGAGTCCAGGACACCCCAGAGTCCAGGACACCCAGAGTCCAGAGCACCCCAGAATCCAGAGCACCCCAGAGTCCAGGACACCCCAGAGTCCAGGATACCCCAGAGTCCAGGACACCCCAGAATCTAGAGCACCTCAGAGTCCAGAGCATCCCAGAGTCCAGGCCATCCCAGAGTGCAGGACACCCCAGAATCCAGAGCACCCCAGAGTCCAGAGTACCCTAGAGTCCAGAACACCCAGAGTCCAGGACACCCCAGAGTCCAGGACACCTCAGAGTCCAGAGCATTCCAGAGTCCAGGCCATCCCAGAGTCCAGAGCACCCCAGAGTCCAGAGCACCCCAGAGTCCAGGACACCCCAGACTCCAGAGCACCCCAGCGTCCAGGACACCCCAGAGTCCAGAGCACCCCAGAGTCCAGGATCCCCCCAGAGTCCAGAGTACCCTAGAGTCCAGGACACCTCAGAGTCCAGAGCACCCCAGAGTCCAGGACACCCCAGAGTCCAGGACACCCCAGAGTCCAGAGCACCCCAGAGTCCAGAGCACCCCAGAGTCCAGGACACCCCAGAGTCCAGAGCACCCCAGAGTCCAGAGCACCCCAGAGTCCAGGACACCCCAGAGTCCAGGCCATCCCAGAGTCCAGAGCACCCCAGAGTCCAGGCCATCCCAGAGTGCAGGACACCCCAGAGTCCAGAGCACCCCAGAGTGCAGAGTAGACCTTGGAGAACCCTGGGGCTGGGGCAGAGCTACGCAGATCACGCCAGAGACCCTGGGTGCCATCAGCTGCTTCCACCTGCCTCTGCCCTCCGTGGCAGGGTCGGGGGCTCCAGCCAGGGTCATGGCATGCACGTGGCCGCGGCTCTGCTCTCCGTGGCAGGGTCGGGGGCTCTAGCTGGGGTCATGGCACACACATGGCCACGGCTCTGCTCTCCGTGGCAGGGTCAGGGGCTCTAGCTGGGGTCATGGCACACACATGGCCGTGGCTCTGCCCTCTGTGGCAGGGTCGGGAGCTCCAGCCAGGGTCATGCCCTCTGTGGCAGGGTCAGGAGCTCCAGCTGGGGTCATGACACGCACATGGCCACGGCTCTGCTCTCCATGGCAGGGTCGGGGGCTCTAGCCGGGGTCATGACACGCACACGGCCACGGCTCTGCCCTCCGTGGCAGGGTCAGGGGCTCTAGCGGGGTCATGGCACACATGTGGCTGTGGCTCTACACCTGTGCTCTCAAGAGATCCCAGGCGCCCATGTCGATGTGCCAGGCTGCTCCTGACACCCACCTGCAGCTTCTGGGCAGAGACCACCTTTCTCAGCCTTGACCAGGGCTGGGCCATCTGCCACACGGGAGATGGGGACACACAGGACCTTAAGGAGCACAGTGCACATCCCCTACAACCCCACTCCCGCTGCCCACAGGGCCCGTGCGGCCTCGGGTCTACTGCCCAGCTCCCCAGCGCGCTGCTTTGGCTGCAGGTATTACCGGTGCGACCGCAGCCTGGTGTGGAACGCAGGGGCACTGCACTACAGCGACGAGGTGGAGATCATCCGTGGGCTCACACGCATGCCCGGCGGCCAGGACGAGCTCAAGGCCAGCGTGGACGCCATCACGTACTTTGGCAAGGGCACCTACACGGACTGCGCCATCAAGAAGGGGCTGGAGGAGCTGCTCATCGGGTGAGTGGCCTGGCGGGCCAGCTGGGGGCCACGGCCAGCCTGGGACGCACAGGCCTGTGCAGGCCCCCTGGGGTCCTCTGGGCCCTGGGCTTCCGGGCAGCAGGTGATGGCTGGAGAGTCAGAGTCCTGTCCCAGTGAGGGTGTCATGCTAGATCATGGGCCATGGCCGGAGCCCCGGGGCCTCCCCCTGTCCCTTCCACCCGTGCATCAGACACTGTCCCCAAGACCAGTGACCCCAGCATCACTACACCTGCAGAGACACAGATGAAAAGATAGAGAGGCAGAGACAGAGACAGAATGGAGAGAGACGCAGACAAACCCCAAGAGAGAACACAGAGATGGAGAGAGATCATCAGGGTGCTCAGGGAAACGCTCTGGTTCCAAGCAGCTGACAGAAGGGCATCCTCAGAGCCAGTCGGCCACCCTCCCGGGCCTCCCTGCCTCCCGCTGGGCGGAGCTCTGAGGCGCGGGGAGGGGTCCACACCAGCCGCCCCCCCCCCCCCCCGCCTCCCTGCCTCCCGCTGGGCGGAGCTCTGAGGCGCGGGGAGGGGTCCACACCAGCCGCCCCCAGGGCCTCCCTGCCTCCCGCTGGGCGGAGCTCTGAGGCGCGGGGAGGGGTCTCACACCAGCCGCCCCCCAGGGGCTCCCACCTGAAGGAGAACAAGTACCTGATCGTGGTGACGGACGGGCACCCCCTGGAGGGCTACAAGGAGCCCTGCGGGGGCCTGGAGGACGCAGTGAACGAAGCCAAGCACCTGGGCGTCAAGGTCTTCTCCGTGGCCATCACACCCGACCACCTCGTAAGACTTCACACCATCCTAGGCACCGGGAACAGGAGGGGGGGGAGAGGGGGGGGAGGGGGAGAGGGGAGGGGGGCTGCCCCGTCCCCAGTCCTCATCCCCCATCCCCCGCCCCCCACTGTCCCCTGCCCCCAGCCCCCCTCCCATCCCCTGCTCCCCCCGTCCTCCACCCCAGCCTCCCTCCCATCCCCCACCCCAGCCCCCTCCCATTCCCCACCCCAGCCCCCTCCCATCCCCCACCCCCCACTGTCCCTGCCCCCAGCCCCCTCCCATCCCCCACCCCAGCCCCCTCCCATTCCCCACCCCAGCCCCCTCCCATCCCCCACCCCCACTGTCCCCTGCTCCTAGCCCCCTCCCATCCCCCACGCCCAGCCCCCTCCCATCCCCCGCCCCCAGCCCCCTCCCATCCCCCACCCCCAGCCCCCTCCCATCCCCCGCCCCCAGCCCCCTCCCATCCCCCACCCCCACTGTCCCCTGCTCCTAGCCCCCTCCTATCCCCTGCCCCCCCACTGTCCCCGCCCCCAGCCCCCTCCCATCCCCCACCCCCAGCCCCCCTCCCATCCCCCACCCCCAAGCCCCTCAGGGCTCCAGGGGTCCCTGTCCCCAGCCTGGGGGCTCACAATGCCCGTTTCCAGGCTTGCTGCCCACTAGGGCCCCAGTACCAGACGGTCCCAGGCCCCTCCCAGTGAGGCACCGGGTGTCTGCTGGCCCTGGGACCCCCGGGCCAGCCTGCCTTGGCCTGGGCCCTGTTGGGGGCCCCAGGGACCCAGCTCGCCCCCTCTTCCTGCCCATACCCCAGGAGCCACGCCTGAGCATCATCGCCACCGACCACACCTACCGGCGCAACTTCACGGCAGCAGACTGGGGGCAGAGTCGTGGGGCCGAGGAGGTCATCACCCAGACCATCGACACGATCGTGGACATGATCGTGAGTGCCCCAGGCACCACGCTCGGGCAAGGAGGGAGGGGACGTGAGGGCAGGGGAGGCCGCCAAGTGGGCTACCAGTGGTAACCCATTTGTTCCGTTCTATTTCAGAAAAACAATGTGGAGCAAGTGGTAAGACCCCCCCCCGCCCCCCGCTGCCCAGCCAGGGTGCTGGTCCACAGGGCCAGAACTCCTGGGTGGGGCGTGTGCCCGGGCACACGCGTGTGCTGAGCGCTCGCGTGTGGCTGGACACCAGTCTCCACTGCTGACTTTCTGACTGGTCTCCTGCCCTCCTTCCTCTCCACAGTGCTGCTCCTTCGAGTGCCAGGTCAGTGTGGCTTCCCCAGCTCAGCCACGCCCCGTGTGGAGGCTGGGGGGCGGGGGGGGGTCTGGGCTGACGGCCCCGTGTGGAGGCCGGGGAGGGGGGGCTGGGCTGATGGCCCCCTGTGGAGGCCGGGGAGGGGGGGTCTGGGCTGATGGCCCCCTGTGGAGGCCGGGGAGGGGGTCTGGGCTGACAGCCCCGTGTGGAGGCCGGGGAGGGGTCTGAGCTGACGGCCCCCTGTGGAGGCCGGGGAGGGAGGGTCTGGGCTGATGGCCCCCTGTGGAGGCCGGGGAGGGGGGGTCTGGGCTGACGGCCCCCTGTGGAGGCTGGGGGGGGGTCTGGGCTGACGGCCCCCTGTGGAGGCCAGGGAGGGGTCTGGGCTGTGGAGGCCGGGGGGGGGGGGGGGTCCAGGGCTCATGGCCCTGCGTGTCTGTCTTGCAGCCTGCCAGAGGACCTCCAGGGCCCCGGGGTGACCCTGGGTATGAGGTGAGTGGCCGGTCCCAAGCATGCTCCTGTGCTGTGGAAATGCCTGGAACACAGCTTCCACCAAGCAGCTACCAGCGGCGGCTGGACAGGACCCTGAGTCCAGGGAGAGAGTCCAGATAGTGCCACACTGGTGTGGGCACCCGCCTGGCCCCTGGAAAGGCCTTCCGGAAGGATCCGGAAGTGGATGAAGCCTGAGACTGTGGGCTCACGGGTCCTGAGAAGTAAAAGCAGTTTGTATCTCCACTCTGAAGGCTGCTCAGGAGCATGGGCTTGCTGGTTCCTCAGAGTAGTCAGAACCCAGAGGGACTTTCCGTGAGTGAGGCTGAGCCTGAGTATTGATAGAGCCTGGCAGAACCGGCACCCCTCAACCCCCAAAACAGGGGAGGAGATTGGGCCTGGGTCCCGCCTGGGGGGCCAGCCCGGGAGGCCAAGGCCTGGGTCCAGCCCGGAGGCCCAGGCTGAGGTCTCCTGAAGGTCTCTGGGCTCCTGGAGCTGAGATCAGGCCGTGATGGGGCCCAGAGGGACTTGGGGGCAGGATGAACTTTTCCCAAGGACCCTGTGTGCACAAGCTAGCCCCTCCCACCCCCAGCTTTCTGGAAAGAGTCTGCACCACCCTGACCGGCTATTCTGTCCCCCAGGGTGAGCGAGGAAAGCCAGGTCTCCCTGGAGAGAAAGGAGAAGCTGGAGACCCGGTGAGTAGCGGAAGTGGAGAAGCCGCAGTGGGAGACTCTGGGGAGAGCTTAGAGGACAGGCGTGGTCCGGGGCCGCCCGGTGGACAGCACGGAGGGCAGGCCCCAGGGGCAGGCCAGCGGACTCCCAGGACCTCCGCTTGACCCCTGGCCCCCCTCCCCCGCTCTCCCCCCTCCCAGGGTACCTAGCTCATCCCCCCCCACCTCCCCCAGGCTCTCTGGGCCCCTCCCCAGCTCACTGTGACCCTGGAGACCCTCAGAGCCCTGGGGCCCCGCTGGGCAGGCCCTGGCCGCAGGGTGGGCTGGGCGAGCTGTCCGGCGTCTGGGCGTCTGACTGTCTCCTCCTCTCTTCCAGGGACGGCCTGGAGACCTGGGACCCGTCGGGTACCAGGGCATGAAGGTGCGTGTGGGGCCCCCGCCGCGCCTCCCTGGGGCCCAGCAGACCCGGCCCGGTTTGTGCCCGCGGGGGGCAGCGTGTGGGACCCTGCACAGCCACGACCCTTCTTCCCCTTCTGTCTGCTTTTCAGGGAGAAAAGGGAAGCCGCGGGGAGAAGGTGAGCAGGACCTGGCTTCGGACATTTCCCTCTGGGCACTGAGCCGAGAGAGCACAAGAGGGTGCAGGGAGACGCTCCATGCCAGCTTCCCATGGGGCCCTGGCAGCAGGCCCCTCCCCTCCCCCCGCCCCTGCCCCTCCCCACCCCGCCCCTGCCCCTGCCCACCCCGCCCCTGCCCCACCCCACCCCACCCCCCCCCCGCCCCTGCCCCTCCCCCCCGCCCCTGCCCCTCCCCACCCCACCCCATCCCCCTGCCCCTCACCCCACCCCCCCCCCGCCCCTGCCCCTCCCCACCCCGCCCCTGCCCCTCCCCACCCCCCCCCCCGCCCCTGCCCCTCCCCCCCGCCCCTGCCCCTCCCCACCCCGCCCCTGCCCCTCCCCACCCCCACCCCGCCCCTGCCCCTCCCCCCCGCCCCTGCCCCACCCCACCCCCCCCCCGCCCCTGCCCCTCCCCACCCCGCCCCCGCCCCTCCCCACCCCACCCCATCCCCCTGCCCCTCCCCCCACCCCGCCCCCTGCCCCTGCCCACCCCGCCCCTGCTCCACCCCACCCCATCCCCCTGCCCCTCACCCCACCCCTACCCCTGCCCCTCCCCCCCCCCACCCCGCCCCTGCCCCTCCCCTCCCCCCCCGCCCCTGCCCCTCCCCACCCCCACCCCGCCCCTGCCCCTCCCCACCCCGCCCCTGCCCCTCCCCACCCCGCCCCTGCCCCACCCCACCCCATCCCCCTGCCCCTCACCCCACCCCTACCCCTGCCCCTCCCCCCCCCACCCCGCCCCTGCCCCTTCCCCCCCGCCCCTGCCCCTCCCCACCCCCCCCGCCCCTGCCCCTCCCCTCCCCCCCCGCCCCTGCCCCTCCCCACCCCCGCCCCTCCCCACCCCACCCCATCCCCCTGCCCCTCACCCCACCCCTACCCCTGCCCCTCCCCCCACCCCGCCCCCTGCCCCTCCCCACCCCGCCCCATCCCCCCACCCCTATCCCACCCCATCCCCCTGCCCCTCCCCCCTCCCCCCCCGCCCCCATCCCCCTCCCCCTCCCTCCACCCCCTGCCACCATCTGGGGTCCGGTGTCAGCAGGGCCTGGGGGCAGCGCCTGTCACTCACCGGCCGCAGGGTGGGGGCTTTGAGAGCCAGCCCCTCCGCTCCTGAGCCCCACACTGGCAGGCTCCCTGGACGTGGGGCAGCTCTGCATTCTCGGGGTCCCCTGCCAGGCTTCACCTGCCCCCCACCTGCTGGGCAGGGTTGAACGAGGCAGGGGCCCTCCTCACGCCCCCTCTGTCTCCACAGGGCTCCAGGGGTCCCAAAGGCTACAAGGTGAGTGGACCTCAGCGGCCGCGCCCGGTGGCCAGCAGCACTGTCTGACCTTCCTCTGACTCTTTGTTTCTGGCCCCCAGGGCGAGAAGGGCAAGCGTGGCATCGACGGGGTGGACGGCATGAAGGTGAGCCCGGGATGGGAGAAGGGGGTGGCGAGGGGCGCGCAGGTGGGGGGTGGGCGGGCGTGTGCGGGTGACAGTGTGACTCGGAGTCTCCTGCCATGCCCGCGAGTCCCAGGCTGACCGTTACCCTAGGACTGAGGGCTTCCTGGGAGGGGCGTGGATGGGCAAGGCCCAGAGTCTTGGCTGCTGACCCCCCACCCCACCCCGCCCCTGCCTGCGTCAGCCTTGGCTTTCCTCCTCAGGGGGAGACAGGGTACCCAGGCCTGCCCGGCTGCAAGGGCTCACCCGGATTTGACGTAAGTCACTCAGCCCCCGCCCCCGATGCCTGGCAGCCCCGGCATGCCGGCCAGGCACACAACTCCTGACGGGCACATCAGCGTGACCTGCTGTGACCGCAGTGGCCGTGGCTCTTCCCACCAGGGCATTCAAGGACCCCCTGGCCCTAAGGGTGACGCCGGTTCCTTCGGACTGAAAGGAGAAAAGGTGAGTGGCCCGGGGCCGCTGGGCCGGGCATTGTCATCCTCAGGGGCAGGCAGCCTGCCACCCGCGGCTCTGCCAGCCGAGCCCCAGGGGTAAGTGACGCTGGTGGACATGTGGACAGTCAGAGCCGCAGCAGGATGGACAGGCCTGGAGCGCTGGTGTGCCCCCAGCGGTACAGCCCTGCCCCACCCCCCGAATCTGTGAGAAATTTGAGGGTAAGCAAGACGCTGGTAGAGGGCAGTGGGGTTTGTTTCTGTTTATTTTGTGTGTGCCAGTCCTGGGGATTGAACCCCGGGCCTGGGCACTGTCCCTGAGCTTCTTTCCCACAAGGCTTTACCACTTGAGCCACAATTCCACTTCTACCTTTTTTTGTGGTTCATTGGAGATAAGAGTCTCACAGTCTTTCCTGCCCAGGCTGGCTTTAAACTGCGCTCCTCAGATCTCAGCCTCCTGAGTAGCGAGGATGCCAGGCGCGAGCCACGGCGCCCGGCCACAGGACAGCTGTTAAGTCCCACCTAGGGTTGAGTTTCAGTTGCATTTCTCTGAGGATTCTGGTGAAGACAGGAGATGCAAGGGAGGTGAGGGAGAGTCAGGGGCCCCCGCCCTGTGTTCCAAGGAAGACGCCAGCCACAGATCACCCCTGCCCAGGGGAGAGTGCGGCTGGCCGCCCGAGCCCCGTCAGGCGGGGCAGGTGGTTTGGGGACCGGAGCGTGCAAATGGTGGTGTGCAGCCACAGGTGGGTCCCCGGGGTCCTTGGAGACCAGGGGCTAAGTGGGCCGAGCTGTGGGGAGCGGGGCAGGCCTGAGGTTACCCCCAGGGAGCACGCGTGACCGCTCATCCTGCCAGGGGGAAGCCGGAGCAGACGGGGAAGCTGGAAGACCCGGAAACTTGGGGCCACCGGGAGACGAGGTGAGATGGGGCAAGGTATCCCGGGCTGCCGGGGCTCAGAACCAAAGACCCGACCGCTCACCCCGCCCTTCCTCCCACAGGGCGAACCCGGAGAGCCTGGGCCCCCCGGAGAAAAAGGAGAGGCCGGCGATGAGGTGAGCCCCTGCCAGCCTCCACCTCACTCCCAAGGCGGGGTGCGTGCTGCCATGCACACTAACGCAGGCTCTGCTCCTCCCTTTCCAGGGCAACGCTGGTCCCGACGGCGCCCCGGGGGAGCGGGTGAGTGGTGGGCGGCAGGCTGCCCCTGACAGCTCTGCCAGGGTCACCCTGACCCCACAGGTCTATTCCTGATGGGCCCCTGGCCCTCAGGCCCACTCCTGACTGGACACCACAGGTCCACTCCTGACTGGACACAGCAGGCCCACTCCTGACTGGACACCACAGGTCCACTCCTGACTGGACACCGCAGGCCCACTCCTGACTGGACACCGCAGGTCCACTCCTGACTGGACCCCGCAGATCCACTCCTGACTGGACACAGCAGGTCCACTCCTGACTGGACACAGCAGGCCCACTCCTGACTGGACCCCACAGATCCACTCCTGACTGGACACAGCAGGTCCACTCCTGACTGGACACCGCAGGCCCACTCCTGACTGGACACCACAAGTCCACTCCTGACTGGACACCGCAGGCCCACCCCTGACTGGACACCGCAGGTCCACCCCTGACTGGACACCGCAGGCCCACTCCTGACTGGACAGCGCAGGTCCACCCCTGACTGGACACCGCAGGCCCACTCCTGACTGGACACCGCAAGTCCACTCCTGACGACACCGCAGGCCCACTCCTGCTGGACACTACAGGCCCACTCCTGACTGGACACCGCAGGTCCACCCCTGACTGGACACCGCAGGCTCACTCCTGACTGGACACCACAGGTCCACCCCTGATTGGACACCGCAGGTCCACCCCTGACTGGACACAGCAGGTCCACTCCTGGCTGGACACAGCAGGTCCACTCCTGACTGGACACCGCAGGCCCACTCCTGACTAGACACCGCGGGTCCACCCCTGACTGGACACCGCGGGTCCACTCCTGACTGGACACAGAGGGCCCACTCCTAACTGGACACCACAGGTCCACTCCTGACTGGACACCGCAGGTCCACTCCTGACTGGACACTGCAGGCCCACTCCTGACTGGACACAGAGGGCCCACTCCTGACTGGACACCGCAGGTCCACTCCTGACTGGACACCACAGGCCCACTCCTGACTGGACACCGCAGGTCCACCCCTGACTGGACACCGCAGGCCCACTCCTGACTGGACAGTGCAGGTCCACCCCTGACTGGACACCGCAGGCCCACTCCTGACTGGACACCGCAAGTCCACTCCTGACGACACCGCAGGCCCACTCCTGCTGGACACCGCAGGTCCACTCCTGACTGGACACAGCAGGCACACTCCTGACTGGACACAGCAGGCCCACTCCTGACTGGACACCACAGGTCCACTCCTGACAGTGCCTGGGCCTCACACAGCCAGGTGGTCTGACACCAGCAGGGAAGGCAGACACCAGCCTTTGGAATGATTGTCACCCTGTGGTTCTGCCCTGGCCTCAAATCCTCAGTCAGTGGAGGCTGTGGATCGAGGGAGGCTGGCCTCTGAAATGACGCGGCTTGGAAGGAAGGCCAGCCCCGGCTGCCACTGGGTGGAGGCTGTGAGCGGCCCAGGCTGGTGTAAACCCCAAAGTGGCGTCTGCTTCTTACCTGCCCGTCTCCACACAGGGCGGCCCTGGAGAGAGAGGACCTCGGGGGACCCCGGGCATGCGGGGGCCACGGGGAGAGCCGGTGAGTCCCAGCCTCAGGCTAGACCCTGACCAGCCCTGCGGGGGTCAGGACAGGTCAGGGGTCAGATCCCAGAATCATATAGCCCTGAGGGGACAGGACAGGTCAGGGGTCAGATCCCAGGTCACACAGCCCTGTGGGGGACAGGACAGGTCAGGGGTCAGATCCCAGGGTCACACAGCCCTGTGGGGGACAGGACAGGTCAGGGGTCAGAACCCAGGTCACACAGCCCTGTGGGGGACAGGACAGGTCAGGGGTCAGAACCCAGGGTCACACAGCCCTGCAGGGACAGGATAGGTCAGGGGTTAGATCCCACGGTCACACAGAGTTCAGCTCTCTGCTTCCCTCTGCTTGTGGACCATGCAGCTCTGTCTGCAGAACCCTGCCCACCCCCACCTGGCAGCCTGCTTCCTGAACCCAGGGATCTGAATGGAAGCAGCCAGGGGTCCTGGGAGGCTCACACCTCCATTTCCCCTTTCCTGGGAGAAACAACCCCCAAAATGTCACCCACAGGGGTGAAGTGTCTGAGGCCACAGCATCTATGCCAACTTTTATTGAGCAGCTCTGTTCTCAAGCCACACCTGCAGGCCACCACGAGCGCAGGATCTGGATCCCAGGGACGCCCGCAGGCCACCACGAGCGCAGGATCTAAGCTGGCCTGACAGGGCCCCTCACTTCACACTTCAGGCCTCTCTAAATCACAGCCATTCCCAACCACTACATGAACTCTGCAGACAGGCCTCACGTTCTTATTTGGAAGAATTTCTTTGTTTCAGTTTCAAGAGTGAAAATGTCAGATTAAAACTCCAAATGGGGGACAGGCCAGAGATGGTTTGACCAAGGCGTCTCACCCTGGGGCCCTGGAGAACAGAGGTAGTCACACAATGGCCACACCAGAGACCTATTTCCTGGCAAACACATGGCAAGGCTAAGAGGGGGAAAGGCGGTCAGAAGGAAGGGGTGAGGAGCAATCAATGCCTGACGTGGACTGTGTCCCTGCCCTGTCTTGAGCCACCACACCACTGCAGTCCATGCCTGGCAAGCAGCTCCTGTCCAGCAACTGTTTGCCAGGCCCTCAGGGCTGCCGTCTGCCCCACCTAGGAGCAGACGGAGACTCTGAGCCTTCTCCCCAGGGTGAAGCTGGACCCCAAGGTGACCAAGGAAGAGAAGGTCCTGTTGGTGTCCCAGGAGACCCGGTAGGGAGCCCACTGTCTGGAGTGGGCAGCCTGCTGTCTGGGGTAGGGAGCCCGCTGTCTGGAGTGGACAGCCGGCTGTCTGGAGTAGGGAGCCTGCTGTCTGGAGTGGACAGCCGGCTGTCTGGGGTAGGGAGCCTACTGTCTGGAGTGGGCAGCCGGCTGTCTGGGGTAGGGAGCCCACTGTCTGGAGTGGGCAGCCTGCTGTCTGGAGTGGGCAGCCGGCTGTCTGGGGTAGGGAGCCCACTGTCTGGAGTGGGCAGCCTGCTGTCTGGAGTGGGCAGCCGGCTGTCTGGGGTAGGGAGCCCACTGTCTGGAGTGGGCAGCCTGCTGTCTGGAGTGGGCAGCCTGCTGTCTGGGGTAGGGAGCCCGCTGTCTGGAGTGGACAGCCGGCTGTCTGGGGGAGGGAGCCTGCTGTCTGGAGTGGGCAGCCCTCTGTCTTATAGTGGCACCCAAAGCCTGTCAGCCCACACAGGACTCAGGACACAGTCAAGTTGGCCAAGGCTAAAATGCGGGTCAGCTCTTGAGGTAGGGTCTGCATTCCCAGCTCGTGGCCTCCTGGGACACAGGATGGACCCCAGAGCCAGTGGCAGGGGGCCACATGGTACCTGAGCCACCTGATGGGCCAGACCCCATGGCCCCAGCTGTCAACAGGAGGCCAGGGGCGTGCTGCTGGGTGTGAGGTCAAACGTGTGTGGACACACCCTGGGCTCGGCCCTGGGGAAGTGAGGTTCTGGGCCCCGCACAAGAGCCCCGTCCCGTGGGCATGGACGAGGCAGAGGCCCACCACTGGGGCTGGGACCCGAGGTCCAGGCCTGCTGCAGCCTGGCTTAGTCCAGAGGCAGCACAGGCAGGCAGGGAGTCCCGGTGAGAGCTGGCCAGGGTCCTGCCTCTGCAGAGCCCCTCCCTGGTATCTGTAGGGAAGGATGGAACGCTGGGCAAGAAGCACCCACTGCACTGCTTCCCGGTGCATCCCAGTGGGCTTCAGTGGGAGACCGAGGCCAGTGCGGGTGCAGTAGCCCATCTGGTGATGGAGGGAGCCCAAAAGCAGGCCCAGACGGGGACAGGACAGGCTTCAGGCCTGGTCCAACCACGCCAGCACCGGCAGTCCTGGCTCCTGGTTGCCCCGGTGACCCGGGACCCATGCATCTGTCCCTCAGGGTGAGGCTGGCCCCGTTGGACCTAAGGGGTACCGTGGTGACGAGGGTCCCCCCGGGCCTGAGGTGAGTGCTGCCCCCGGATGTCCCATCCCCCGGGCGCTGCCCTGGGCCTCTGGGCGCCGCTCCCAGTCCCCGGAGGGCGCTGAGCCCTTGCCTTCGCTGGGAGCTGGCTGCCACTCCTCTCTCCTTAGGGGCCCAGAGGCGCCCCAGGACCTGTCGGACCCCCAGGAGACCCGGGGCTAATGGGTGAACGGGTAAGTGTGTGGCAGCAGGGCCTGCTGGTCCATGCTGGGTAGCAGAGGTCCCTCCCCGCAAGGCTGGCCCTGGCCTGAACCAACTTTGAGGGAAGGGGCTGCCTCTGGGGGTCTAGTGACCACACAGGCAGTGTGTAGTCAGCAGCCAACCACGGTGCACCTTGGCCAGTCTTTCCTACTTGAGATTCAGTCCGGGGAGATGAGCCCCCAGGGCAGCTGACAGGAAGAACCTCTGAATGCTGCCATTTGGGGGTGTCCTATACTGTCCTGTGTTGTCCTGCGCTGTCCCGGGTACCCTGTGCTGTCCTGTGCTGTCCTGTGCTGTCCTGCGCTGTCCCGGGTACCCTGTGCTGTCCTGTGCTGCCCCGGGGCGTCCCGGGGCGTCCCGGGTACCCTGTGCTGTCCTGTGCTGTCCTGCGCTGTCCCGGGTGCCCTGTGCTGTCCTGTGCTGTCCTGTGCTGTCCTGCGCTGTCCCGGGTACCCTGTGCTGTCCTGCGCTGTCCCGGGTGCCCTGTGCTGTCCTGTGCTGTCCTGTGTTGTCCTGCGCTGTCCCGGGTACCCTGTGCTGTCCTGTGTTGTCCTGCGCTGTCCCGGGTACCCTGTGCTGTCCTGTGTTGTCCTGCGCTGTCCCGGGTACCCTGTGCTGTCCTGTGCTGCCCCGGGGCGTCCCGGGTGTCCTGTGCTGTCCTGTGTTGTCCTGCGCTGTCCCGGGCACCCTGTGCTGTCCTGTGCTGCCCCGGGGCGTCCCGGGTGCCCTGTGCTGTCCTGTGCTGTCCTGTGTTGTCCTGCGCTGTCCCGGGTGCCCTGTGCTGTCCTGTGCTGTCTCGGGGTGTCTCGGGTACCCTGTGCTGTCCTGCGCTGTCCCGGGTGCCCTGTGCTGTCCTGTGCTGTCCTGTGCTGTCCTGTGCTGTCCCGGGTACCCTGTGCTGTCCTGTGCTGCCCCGGGGCGTCCCGGGTACCCTGTGCTGTCCTGTGCTGTCCTGCGCTGTCCCGGGTGCCCTGTGCTGTCCTGTGCTGTCCTGCGCTGTCCCGGGTACCCTGTGCTGTCCTTGCTGTCCTGTGGTGTCCTGTGCTGTCCTGCGCTGTCCCGGGTGCCCTGTGCTGTCCTGTGCTGTCCTGTGCTGTCCTGTGCTGTCCCGGGTACCCTGTGCTGTCCTGTGCTGCCCCGGGGCGTCCCGGGTACCCTGTGCTGTCCTGTGCTGTCCTGCGCTGTCCCGGGTGCCCTGTGCTGTCCTGTGCTGTCCTGCGCTGTCCCGGGTACCCTGTGCTGTCCTTGCTGTCCTGTGGTGTCCTGTGCTGTCCTGCGCTGTCCCGGGTGCCCTGTGCTGTCCTGCGCTGTCCTGTGGTGTCCTGTGCTGTCCCGGGTACCCTGTGCTGTCCTGTGCTGTCCTGCGCTGTCCCGGGTGCCCTGTGCTGTCCTGCGCTGTCCCGGGGCGTCCCGGGTGTCCTGTGCTGTCCTGCGCTGTCCTGTGCTGTCCTGCGCTGTCCCGGGGCGTCCCGGGGCGTCCTGGGCTGTCCTGCGCTGTCCCGGGGCGTCCCGGGGCGTCCTGGGCGAGCATCTTACATGGTGCCAGCAGCTCTGCTTTACTCTCCCAGGGTGAAGACGGTCCCCCTGGAAATGGCACCGAGGGCTTCCCCGGCTTTCCTGTAAGTGTCCCCCCACTGAGCCACTCTCAGCATTATTCTGGCTACCTGGGCACTTGGTCCAGCAGGGCCAGCCTGGCCACCAACTGGCCAGGAGACTTGGTAACTAGGCCTCTGCCCTTAAAAAGGCTCTTTCTGCCTTGTCCTGACCACCTTGCCTTCGCCCACAGGGTTATCCAGGCAACAGAGGTCCCCCAGGGCTGAACGTGAGTATGCCCTCACTCTGCCTCTGCTCACAGGCACAGTGCCCACACATGTGTATATTGACACACACCTGCAGGAACGATGTCCCTATGCACTCATGTCCAGACGTATGCATGTGATCTCATGCATTACATACACACTCACACAGTCACACACGCAGCCACACATACTGTCACAGTCACACCATCACACACATAGTTACATAGTTACACACAGTCACACACATCCATACACACACAGTCACACACGCAGCCACACTGTCACACATACTGTCACAGTCATACCGTCACACACACAGTCACACACAGTCACACACTGTCACACACACACACAGTCACACACAGCCACACACAGCCATACACACACACTCAGTCACACACGCAGCCACACTGTCACACATACTGTCAGAGCCACACTGTCACACATATAGTTATACACAGTCACACACAGTCACACACACACACAGTCACACACAGTCACACACATCCATACACACACACAGTCACACACGCAGCCACACTGTCACACATACTGCCAGAGCCACACTGTCACACATATAGTTATACACAGTCACACACAGTCACACACACACACAGTCACACACAGTCACACACATCCATACACACACACAGTCACACACGCAGCCACATGGTCACACATACTGTCACAGTCACACCGTCACACACATAGTCATACACAGTCACACAGTCACAGCCATACACACACACAGCCACACGGTCACACATACTGTCACAGTCACACTGTCACACACATAGTTATACACAGTCACACATAGTCACACACAGTCACACACAACCATACACACACACTCAGTCACACACAGAGCCACACGGTCACACATACTGTCACAGTCATACCGTCACACACAGTTATACACAGTCACACAGTCACAGCCATACACACACACTCAGTCACACACACAGTCACACTGTCACACATATACACAGTCACACAGTCACACACAGTCACACACAGCCACACACACACACAGCCACACGGTCACACATATCACAGTCACACTGTCACACACATAGTTATATACAGTCACACACAGTCACACACAGTCACACACAGCCATACACACACACTCAGTCACACACAGAGCCACACTGTCACACATATTATCACAGTCACACTGTCACACATATAGTTATACACAGTCACACTGTCACACACCGTCACACACATAGTTATACACAGTCACACATGGTCACACACTTGGTCACAGTCACACACACAGTTACACAAGTCACACACATGTTCATAGTCACATAATACAGCCACACACATTCACAGAAGTCTCACACACGGTCACCGTCACACACATATGGTCACACACAGTCACACACAATCGCACACACAGGTACACAGTCACACACACAACCCATCCAATATTACCCAAATCCCCCACCTACCTTGGGGACAGTCCAGCCACACTCACACCACCTTCCCTCCCCACTAAGATTACACTGACTTGTATTTTCTGTCACACACAGGGAACGAAAGGCTACCCTGGCCTCAAGGGAGATGAAGGAGAAGCTGGAGAGCCTGGAGAGGATGTATGTGGGGTCAGGTGGAGAGGACGTGGGCGGGGTCAGGTGGAGAGGACGTGGGCGGGGTCAGGTGGAGAGGACGTGGGCGGGGTCAGGTGGAGAGGACGTGGGTGGGGTCAGGTGGACATGGGCGGGGTCAGGTGGAGAGGACGTGGGCGGGGTCAGGTGGAGAGGACATGGGCGGGGTCAGGTGGACGTGGGCGGGGTCAGGTGGAGAGGACGTGGGCGGGGTCAGGTGGACGTGGGCGGGGTCAGGTGGAGAGGACGTGGGCGGGGTCAGGTGGAGAGGACGTGGGCGGGGTCAGGTGGAGTCCTGGTGTGAACCCAAGGCAGCCTAGATTCAGGGCAGCAGAGTGGAGCCAGCTGGGGAGACAGATAAGCAGGCTAAGTGTCCAGGTGATTGTGTCAGAGGACACACATTCATGGCTGCTGACCTGTGTCACTTCCTTTCAGAACAATGACATTTCACCACGTGGGGTCAAAGGAGCAAAAGGGTACCGAGGCCCGGAAGGCCCACAGGTGAGCCATGAGGCTGTGGGAGGGGAAGGGAGGGAGGAAAGGAAGGGGGAGGGGCTTGCACACTCAGAGCCTCCCCTGGGAGCTCGCACACTCAGAGCCTCCCCTGGGAGCTCGCACACTCAGAGCCTCTCCTCAGAGCTCACACACGCAGAGCCTCCCCTGGGAGCTCGCACACTCAGAGCCTCCCCTGGGAGCTCGCACACTCAGAGCCTCTCCTCAGAGCTCACACACGCAGAGCCTCCCCTGGGAGCTCGCACACTCAGAGCCGCCCCTCAGAGCTCACACACGCAGAGCCTCCCCTGGGAGCTCGCACACTCAGAGCCTCCCCTCAGAGCTCGCACACTCAGAGCCGCCCCTCAGAGCTCACACACAGAGCCTCCCCTGGGAGCTTGCACATTCAGAGCCTCCTCTGGGAGGATGCACACTCAGAGCCTCCCCTGGGAGCTCGCACACTCAGAGCCTCCCCTGGGAGCTCGCACACTCAGAGCCTCTCCTCAGAGCTCACACACGCAGAGCCTCCCCTGGGAGCTCGCACACTCAGAGCCTCCCCTGGGAGCTCGCACACTCAGAGCCGCCCCTCAGAGCTCACACACGCAGAGCCTCCCCTGGGAGCTCGCACACTCAGAGCCTCCCCTCAGAGCTTGCACACTCAGAGCCGCCCCTCAGAGCTCACACACACAGAGCCTCCCCTGGGAGCTTGCACATTCAGAGCCTCCTCTGGGAGGATGCACACTCAGAGCCTCCCCTGGGAGCTCGCACACTCAGAGCCTCCCCTCAGAGCTCGCACACTCAGAGCCGCCCCTCAGAGCTCACACACACAGAGCCTCCCCTGGGAGCTTGCACATTCAGAGCCTCCTCTGGGAGGATGCACACTCAGAGCCTCCCCTGGGAGCTCGCACACTCAGAGCCTCCCCTGGGAGCTTGCACACTCAGAGCCTCCCCTCAGAGCTCGCACACTCAGAGCCTGGTCTGTTGCTGCCCTGACAGGGACCCCCAGGACACGTGGGACCACCTGGACCGGACGTAAGTAGGGTGTCCACAACTGTCCTCTGGAGGCCACAGACCGTGTAGAGGCCATTGGTGGGAACAGATGGGGGGATGGGGAGGAGGCCTGGGTGTGAGGACACAGAGGTAGGCCATGAGCACAGGACACGGGCCTGAGGACACATGGACAAAGTGGGGAAAGTGGATGACCACAGGGTACATGTGGATGGGCTGGAGGACACATGGATGACCCTGCATGACACATGCATGACCCCTGAGAGACGTGACAACCTTCATTTGGTGACCATTTGGCATATGGCATGCACACTGGAGGTAAAGATCCAGTGGTCACCACAGGACACACTGAGACAAGGTCCGGCCCTGGGGTGCCGGGAGACCTCTAGCTCAGAGCCATGGTAACGCTCCTTCCCACCTCTCCCTCCCCAGGAGTGTGAGATTCTCGACATCATCATGAAAATGTGCTGTGAGTACAGCGATCTTAGAGAGCTACCTCAGTGGATGAGCTCGCTCCCGCCAGCCCCAGGGCCCTCCTGTCCAGAAGACTCTCAGTGCGGTTGGGGGAGGGGTCCTGGCAGAGCCAGCAGGCCCAGCTGGTGCGGCCCTGCAGAGGAGCGGGCTGGGGCTTGGCTAATTGTCCTAAAGTTCTGTCTGAGAGCCTGGGCTAAGCTGGGCCGGGCTGGGCCGGGCTGGGCTGGGCTGGGCTGGGCAGAGCTGGGCTGGGCTGGGCCGGGCTGAACTGAGCTGGGCAGAGGGGCTCCAGGAAGGGGGTCAGGTGCAGGGACAGCTTGAAGTCATGTGCTGTTCTGTTGTCTAATCTCCTCTTCCTTCTTCCTCCAGCCTGCTGTGGTGAGTGCCACCCCTAACACATAGCAATTGCCATGTGGCTTTAAGGATTCCTTCAGTGGGCAGAGTGGCCCTCTGTGCAGTGGACAGAGCAGGACCCTCATCTGCAGTGGACAGAGCAGGGCCCTCTGTGCAGTGGACAGAGCAGGGCCCTCGGTCTGCAGTGGACAGAGCAGGCCCTTCTCTGAGTGCACAGTGACAGTCATGCTGCTCTGCTGCTCCCTGGCCAGCGGCCTCCCTGCCCCCAGAGTGCCACCAGAGCATGCAGGCTCTTCTCCAGCACATCAACACCTCCAGACCCCAGGCCTGCCCTGTCCCTTCTCCCCATGGGGTCGGGTCAGGGTCCAGAGGCAGCTGGTGCAGCCTTGGCTGGGCCTGGCTGGGGGCGGGTGGCCTGACGGGCCTCTGCCCAGGAGCCCGGGGAGGGGTGGCCAGGGACCGTGGGGCACCCTGGGAGGGGCCCTGAGGATCGACCCTGCCCGCCCCCAGAGTGCAAGTGTGGGCCCATCGACATCCTCTTCGTGCTGGACAGCTCCGAGAGCATCGGCCTGCAGAACTTTGAGATCGCCAAGGACTTCATCATCAAGGTCATTGACCGTCTGAGCAGAGTCGAGCTGGTCAAGGTGAGGGGAGCTGCCTGTGGGGCGGCCACCACATAAGCAGAAGGCTGAGCCTCCTGGTGCATGCACGGCCCAGTCCCGGCCAGGCCCTGCCCGGTGCAGCCCTGGCTCTGTCAGGTGGCACAGGATGGAGCGGGCTCCAGCCTGGCCCCGGGGCGTGGGCCTGGCTCCTGACAGTCTCAAGGCTCACTCTTTGAGGACAGAAACGGGGAGCGCCCCCGGGGCTCTGAATGCCCGGCAGATGGGAGGCCAGAGGCTGTGACGCAGGGCCTCCTGGGGGACACAAATGCTGGGACTCGGTGACAGGCTTAGACGCCCTGTGCTGTCCCTCAGTTTGAGCCGGGACAGTCGCACGCTGGCGTGGTGCAGTACAGCCACAACCAGATGCAGGAACACGTAGACATGAGGAGCCCCAACATCCGCAACGCCCAGGAGTTCAAGGAGTGAGTGGCCCCGCGGGGGCGTGGCCTCGGGCCCCCTGTGGGGGTGTGGCCTCGGGCCCCTGCGGGGGCGTGGCCTCGGGCCCCCTGTGGGGGCGTGGCCTCGGGCCCCCTGTGGGGGCGTGGCCTCGGGCCCCTGCGGGGGCGTGGCCTCGGGCCCCTGCGGGGGCGTGGCCTCGGGCCCCCTGTGGGGGTGTGGCCTTGGGCCCCTGCGGGGGCGTGGCCTTGGACCTTGGCCCTGGCCCTGACTGACCTGGCCTGGCTGTCCTGTGCCGAGCAGAGCTGTGAAGAAGCTGCAGTGGATGGCAGGCGGCACGTACACCGGGGAGGCTCTGCAGTACACGCGGGACCGGCTGCTGCCGCCCACCCAGAATGACCGCATTGTCCTGGTCATCACCGACGGACGCTCAGACACCCAGAGAGACACCACGCCCCTCAACGTGCTGTGCGGCCCTGACATCCAGGTGGGCGCAGGCCCAGCCTGCAGCCTCACCGCGCTCGGCCGAGGCGGGTCCGCTGACTGCACGCATCCTCCACAGGTGGTCTCTGTGGGCATCAAAGACGTGTTTGGCTTCGCGGCCGGCTCTGACCAGCTCCACGTCATCTCCTGCCAAGGTGTGCTGTCCCAAGGCCGGCCCGGCATCTCTCTGGTGAAGGAAAACTACGCAGAGTTACTGGACGACGGCTTCCTGAAGAACATCACCACCCAGATCTGCATAGGTGGGCAGGGTGGGGTGGGACGGGGCGGGGCAGGGGCGGGGTGGGGCAGGGAGTGGGGCGGGTGGGGGGGTCTCGGGGGGTGGTGTGGACGCCCACACCACCGAGGGGCTGCGTGCCGGGTCCCCACCCCAGGACATGCCCGCCACCCTGGCCGGCACCCACCCAGAGGAACACTGGCCGGACTGTGCAGCGCTGCCCACTAGACTGGCCACTCTGTCCAAGCCTGTGTTTGGCAGGGTGCGTGACACACACGCGTGTCCCAGACCTCCACCCATGCCCACACGCAGCATGTGCAGTGAACAGGGCCGGGCAGCGCCGGCAGCCGGGCAGCGGAGGGAGAGCTGGGAGCAGGCTGGTGCGGGGGAGGGGTGGGGTGCACGGCGCGGAGCACCCCAGCTCTGCTCTGCCTCAGTCTCCACACTCTCCGAAGGCACCCGGCTCTGCCCCACCTCTCGGTGGGCTGGTGACCGGCAGGCCTGTGCCCTTGGCAGGACTGGATGGGCTGCAGGCTGTGGGGCCTGGGGCAGACGGGGGTCAGGCTCCTGGGGGTGCTGCCCTGGATCACGGCACCGAGCGTCGGTCCATCTTCTGTGTTGTCTCTTCTTTTACAGACAAGAAGTGTCCAGATTACACCTGCCCGAGTGAGTAGCTAGGGCTGTGGGGCAGGCGCTGGCCGGGCACCATGGGGCCCGTGGGGCTCACTCCGGCTCCGGGGCGCTCCTCCCCTGCCCGGCCAGCCTGGGAAGCGGGGTGACCAGCCCCCCACGGCGGCACGGGCGGGCCCGGTGCTCACAGCCTCTCCCCCCATCCCACAGTCACCTTCTCCTCCCCGGCCGACATCACCATCCTGCTGGACGGGTCAGCCAGCGTGGGCAGCCACAACTTTGACACCACCAAGCACTTTGCCAAGCGCGTGGCCGAGCGCTTCCTCTCGGCCGGCCGTGAATCGGCTGCCCACACGGTGCGCGTGGCCGTGGTGCAGTACAGCGGCCAGGGCCAGCAGCAGCCGGGGCGGGCGGCCCTGCAGTTCCTGCAGAACTACACGGTGCTGGCCGGTACCGTGGACAGCATGGACTACTTCAACGACGCCACGGACGTCAACGACGCCCTCAGCTACGTGACTCGCTTCTACCGTGAGGCGTCATCCGGCGCTGCCAAGAAGAGGCTGCTGCTGTTCTCTGACGGCAATGCGCAGGGGGCCACGCCGGCGGCCCTGGAGAAGGCCGTGCAGGAGGCCCAGCGCGCGGGCATCGAGATCTTCGTGGTGGTGGTGGGTCACCAGGTGAACGAGCCCCACATCCGCGTGCTGGTCACAGGCAAGACGGCTGAGTACGACGTGTCCTTCGGCGAGCGCCACCTGTTCCGCGTGCCCAGCTACCAGGCCCTGCTCCGCGGTGTCTACTACCAGACCGTCTCCAGAAAGGTGGCGCTGGGCTAGCGGGCCAGGCCCGCCGCCACGGTCTTCCTGTGCCTCCCACCCACAACCCCACGGGAAGAGGAAATGTGACCCAGGTCTCCCGAGCAACCTCTGAGAGGCCACGGCTGGGCCTCCGGCTCACGTGCTGTCTCCACCCCTCTGGAGCGCTGTCTGGCCCCTCTCTCCCTTACTCCATCCAGCACAACAGCGCCTGGCTCTCCTCCATGTCCCCTCCCTCCTCCCTGCCCCCTCCCCCTCCATGCCCCCGTGCCCTCCCTCCTCCCTGCCCCCCCTCCTCCCTGTCCCCCCACCCTCCCTCCTCCCTGCCCTCCCTCCTCCCTGCCCTCCCTCCTCCCTCCTCCCTGCCCTCCCTCCTCCCCACCCTCCCTCCTCCCTGTCCCCCCCACCCTTCCTCCTCCCTGCCCTCCCTCCTCCCTGCCCTCCCTCCTCCCTGCCCCCCCATGCCCTCCCTCCTCCATGCACCGGCTGCCTCCAGCCCTGCCTTCCCTTCCAACGAGCCCCTCTCCACTCCCAGAGTCTTGTCACCCACGGCAGAGGCTCATGCTCTGCCCCTGCTCGGGTGCGATGCAGGGCTGTTTTATTTTCAGAAGACCGAGGCGACAATGCTCACATGCTAAGTGTGAAGCACCAGCGCTCCTCACCAGGTGCTCTAAGACCTGGCCTGAGGCCTCCGGCCCAGCGGGCAGCAGGCCTGGCCCCGGCGTCCTCCTGCTCTCAGAGCAAGGTGCTACACGTGGAGCCCACATCCCACGGCCTGGCCGGGGCAGGCAGCACGGAGTGTCTGGTCAGGCTCCACCAGACTCCCGGCAGGAGCTGCCTGTCCCGTGTGGTACTGAAAACCCTTACGCAGCTCTGCGCTGGGTCCGCGCTCCTCAGCCCTAGTCCAAGGGCCATCTCTGCCAATAAAAGTTTCCACTCCTCCCCATAGCTCGTCCCGTGCACATCCGTCCCCCGTCGGGGGAGCCACGGCAGCCCCGGGACCCCTCCCTGCCCCCCTCTGCCCACAAAACCGAAGATACTGCCCCTGGCTGCACCCCACTCCCGGTCGCCGCCCGTGAGTCTGACAGGAAGGCTGGCTCATGGGCATTACCGCCCCCCTGCCCCTCCCCTCCGCAGGCCAGACGCCTCACACCTGAACTGGGGGCAGATGACAGCTTAATGTGCTGGACCCAATAAACCCCAAAGGGTGCTGGGCACCGGCACTGAAAAGACCCCTAAGTGTCTGCAAGGGCAGCCGGGTCCACAGGGAGGAAAACTCCAGTGGCTCGACCAGCACGCAGAGCAGAGCAGAGCCAGCCAGTGGCAGGGCCCGGCCGGGCCCGCGTCCGGAAGGGGCTGCCCAGGGTGGCAGAGTTGACAGGAGCCGCTTTGATCCAGTGTCACAAGAACTCTGCCACCATTCTAGCTCCCAGAGGGAGAGGCCGGACACTGGCCGTCCACGCCGGCCCCCGGTGCCCCTCTGCTTGGCAGCACCCAGGGCCTGCCGGCCCTGATTGGACTGTGCACACTGCGGGTGACACCGGCCCGTGCCACCCCTCCCGGTGTCAGACGCCAGCCCTGAGGCCCAGAGCTCCCCATGGTCCTGGCCGCTCTCCGGAGGACTCCTCTCGGTCTGCATGGTTGGGGCCTCAAGAGCACAGCATGGGGAGCTCCTCCCTCCCAGGCCACACTCCTCAGCCTGCTGCTCGCCGGTGCCCCGGGACTCTGTCCACTGTACCCCAACCTCCCGCCATCCCACATCAGGTCAATCCACACAGTAACCTGAACATCAATGTGTCTCTGACCACAGCACAGCCTGAGGCTGGGCACAGGCTCCCATGCAGAACTCAGAGCCAGATGCCCCTCCTTGCTGCACCATGCTGCTGTGGCCTAATCATCTGCATCCACAGACTGAAGCTCTCACCGGGCTGTGGCTGCTTCTGAAGGCCGGACCTCTCGGGAAATAGTTAAGGAAATAATAGTGAGGCCTAGTCCAGGAGCAGTGGCACAGGCCTGTAACCCTAGCTACTTGGGAAGCAGAGATCTAGAGGATCATGGTTCAAAGCTAGTCTAGGCAAAAAGTGAGATCCTCCAACTTGACCAGTAAACCAGGTGTGGTGGCATTTGTGTAACCCCACCTCTGCAGAAGGCATAAATAGGAGAGCTGTGGTCCAGGCCAGACTGGAGATGAAATGCAAATCCCAACTTAACCAATAACTAAAAGAGCCAGGGAGGGGGAGGGGTGCTGGGGGAGGAGCACTGCCTGCCAAGTGTGACACCCTGAGTTCAAACCCAACCACAACCAAAAAGTGGCGTCTGTGGGATTAGCATTAGTGCCATTTTGTAGAGAAACACTGAGAACTCCTGACTTCTCTCTTTCCCTCCTTCCCCCTCCCTTCTTCCCTCTCTCTGCCACATGTCTGTTTTCTCTCTCATATACAAATATACTCACACATATGCACACATACGCATGTACACACATACACACACATGCACACAGGCTTTTTCTCTGGCTGTCTTTCTCTCCACCATGAGAGGACACACCCAGAAGGCGCTGTTCAGAAGGATGGCGCCCACCAGCCACCAGCTCTGCTGAACATTCCCCTGAACTTCAGCTTCCAGGAAACTCCTTCTGTGAAGTGCCTGTCCATGTCTTTTGCCATTTGCCTCTGGTAAATTCACAAACATAGCTTATGTGGAATAACTTACAGCAGCCAAGGGGCAGGCAGGCCACACGAGGAGGGAGGTGACAGCACTGCCACGGCCAGAGGCACAGAACATGATCTCTGATGGGGCCACACCACTGACCCAGACCCTTGGTGCTAGGGCCCCTGGAGGCTCAGCAGCAACCAGGGGACCTGCTCACGGAGGCTCCTAGTGCCCAGGCACCCCGTGGGTGTGCTGAGCAAAGCGGCAATGCCGGGCTCCCAGGGCGTGGAGCTGACAGCCTGCTCAGCTTCCCTCTGCAGCCTTCAGTGAAGACAATGCAGCAACTGTTCAGGACAAACACCGAGCAGAGCCAGGAATGTGTACAAACATGAGATAGTGAGGAGAGTGCGGGTGTGTGCAGACGTGGGTCAGTGAGGAGAGTGCGGGTGTGTGCAGACGTGGGACAGTGAGGAGAGTGCGGGTGTGTGCAGACGTGGGACAGTGAGGAGAGTGCGGGTGTGTGCAGACGTGGGTCAGTGAGGAGAGTGCGGGTGTGTGCAGACGTGGGTCAGTGAGGAGAGTGCGGGTGTGTGCAGACGTGGGACAGTGAGGAGAGTGCGGGTGTGTGCAGACGTGTGACAGTGAGGAGAGTGCGAGTGTGTGCAGACGTGGGACAGTGATCAGAGTACGGTGTGTGCAGACGTGGGACAGTGAGGAGAGTGCGGGTGTGTGCAGACGTGGGTCAGTGAGGAGAGTGCGGGTGTGTACAGACGTGGGACAGTGAGGAGAGTGCGGGTGTGTGCAGACGTGGGTCAGTGAGGAGAGTGCGGGTGTGTGCAGACGTGGGACAGTGAGGAGAGTGCGGGTGTGTGCAGACGTGGGACAGTGAGGAGAGTGCGGGTGTGTGCAGACGTGGGACAGTGATCAGAGTGCGGGTGTGTGCAGACGTGGGACAGTGATCAGAGTACGGTGTGTGCAGACGTGGGACAGTGAGGAGAGTGCGGGTGTGTGCAGACGTGGGTCAGTAAGGAGAGTGCGGGTGTGTACAGACGTGGGACAGTGAGCAGAGTGCGGGTGTGTGCAGACGTGGGACAGTGAGGAGAGTGCGGGTGTGTACAGACATGGGTCAGTGAGGAGAGTGCGGGTGTGTGCAGACGTGGGACAGTGAGGAGAGTGCGGGTGTGTGCAGACGTGGGACAGTGATCAGAGTACGGTGTGTGCAGACGTGGGACAGTGAGGAGAGTGCGGGTGTGTGCAGACGTGGGACAGTGAGGAGAGTGCGGGTGTGTGCAGACGTGTGAGAGGAGAGTGCGGGTGTGTACAGACATGGGACAGTGAGCAGAGTGCGGGTGTGTGCAGACGTGGGACAGTGAGGAGAGTGCGGGTGTGTACAGACATGGGTCAGTGAGGAGAGTGCGGGTGTGTGCAGACGTGGGTCAGTAAGGAGAGTGCGGGTGTGTACAGACGTGGGACAGTGAGGAGAGTGTGGGTGTGTGCAGACGTGGGTCAGTGAGGAGAGTGCGGGTGTGTGCAGACGTGTGACAGTGAGGAGAGTGCGGGTGTGTGCAGACGTGGGACAGTGAGGAGAGTGCGGGTGTGTGCAGACGTGGGACAGTGAGCAGAGTGCGGGTGTGTGCAGACGTGGGACAGTGAGGAGAGTGCGGGTGTGTGCAGACGTGGGACAGTGATCAGAGTGCGGGTGTGTGCAGACGTGTGAGAGGAGAGTGCGGGTGTGTGCAGACCTGGGACAGTGAGCAGAGTGCGGGTGTGTGCAGACGTGGGACAGTGAGGAGAGTGCGGGTGTGTGCAGACGTGGGACAGTGATCAGAGTGCGGGTGTGTGCAGACGTGGGTCAGTGAGGAGAGTGCGGGTGTGTGCAGACGTGTGACAGTGAGGAGAGTGCGGGTGTGTGCAGACGTGTGACAGTGAGGAGAGTGCGGGTGTGTGCAGACGTGGGACAGTGAGGAGAGTGCGGGTGTGTGCAGACGTGGGACAGTGAGCAGAGTGCGGGTGTGTGCAGATGTGGGACAGTGAGGAGAGTGCGGGTGTGTGCAGACGTGGGACAGTGAGGAGAGTGCGGGTGTGTGCAGACGTGGGACAGTGATCAGAGTGCGGGTGTGTGCAGACGTGTGAGAGGAGAGTGCGGGTGTGTGCAGACCTGGGACAGTGAGCAGAGTGCGGGTGTATGCAGACGTGGGACAGTGAGGAGAGTGCGGGTGTGTGCAGACGTGGGACAGTGAGGAGAGTGCGGGTGTGTGCAGACGTGGGACAGTGAGGAGAGTGCGGGTGTGTGCAGACGTGGGACAGTGAGGAGAGTGCGGGTGTGTGCAGACGTGGGACAGTGAGGAGAGTGCGGGTGTGTGCAGACGTGGGACAGTGATCAGAGTGCGGGTGTGTGCAGACGTGGGACAGTTAGGATGGTGCGGGTGTGTGCAGCCGTGTGACAGGAGATTGCGGGTGTGTGCAGATGTCTGTCAGGAGAGTGTGGGTGTGTACCGACGTGGGACAGTGAGGAGAGTGCGGGTGTGTACAAGCCGTGGGAGCTGGCATTGGTTCTCCCTCAGTGATGCAGCCCCCTCCTCTCAGACAGCCTCCAGGGCCTGCCA